CACATGCAGAAGAATGAAACTCGATCATTCTCTAACACCGTTCACAAAGATAAACTCAAAGTGGATGAAAGACCTCAATGTGAGACAGGAATCCATCAAAATCCTAGAGGAGAACATAGGCAGTAACCTCTTTGACATGGCCCACAGAAACTTCTTTCAAGATACATCTCCAAAAACTAGTGAAACGAAAGCAAAAATGAACTTTTGGGACTTCACCAAGATAAAAAGCTTCTGCACAGCAAAGGAAACAGTCAACAAAACAAAGAGGCAACCCACAGAATGGGAGAAGATATTTGCAAATGACACTACAGATAAAGGGCTGGTATCCAAGACCTATAAAGAACTTCTCAAACTCAACACCCAAAAATCAAATAATCAGGTCAAAAAGTGGGCAGAAGATATGAAAAGACACTTCTCTGAAGAAGACATACAAATGGCTAACAGACACATGAAAAAATGTTCATCATCATTAGCCATCAGGGAAATTCAAATCAAAACCACATTGAGATACCACCTTACAGCAGTTAGAATGGCAAAAATGGACAGGGAAAGAAACAACAAATGTTGGAGAGGTTGTGGAGAAAGGGGAACCCTCTTACACTGTTGGTGGGAATGCAAGTTGGTACAGCCACTTTGGAAAACAGTGTGGAGGTTCCTCAAAAATTTAAAAATAGAGCTACCCTATGACCCAGCAATTGCACTCCTGGGTATTTACCCCAAAGACACAGATGTAGTGAAAAGAAGGGCCATATGCACCCCAATGTTCATAGCAGCAATGTCCACAATAGCCAAACTGTGGAAAGAGCCGAGATGCCCTTCAACAGATGAATGGATAAAGAAGATGTGGTCCATATATACAATGGAATATTACTCAGCCATCAGAAAGGATGAATACCCAACTTTTACGTCAACATGGATGGGACTGGAGGAGATTATGCTAAGTGAAATAAGTCAAGCAGAGAATGTCAATTATCATACGGTTTCACTTATTTGTGGAACATAAGGAATAACATGGAGGACTTTAAGAGAAGGAAGGGAAAATGGGCGGGGGGAATCGGAGGGAGAGATGAACCATGAGAGACTATGGACTCTGAGAAACAAACAGGGATTTAGAGGGGAGGGGGGAGGGGGATTGGTTAGCCCGGTGATGGGTATTAAGGAGGGCACGTACTGCATGGAGCACTGGGTGTTATATGAAAACAATGGATCGTGGATCACTACATCAAAAACTAATGATGTATTGTATGGTGACTAACATAACATAAAAAAAAAAAAAAATTCACTGAATAGGCTTAACAACAAACCAGAGTCAGCAGAAGAGTCGGGGAACTTGAGGACGCATCAGTAGAAAGTGTCCATTTGAAGAACAGAGAAAAAAACATTAAAGAAAAGTGAATAGAGATTTAATGAACAGAGGAGACATTATTAAATGGGCTAACATACATGTAACTGGAATCCTAGAAGGTGAAGAAAGAAGGCAGAAAAAATTGAAAGAAATAATGGACAAAATTGTTCACATTTTAAGAGAAGACAAAGAGGATTACTACTAGAAATAGGAAGATTTTATAATGATAGAAGGAGAAATTCATTTGGAAGATATTACAAATATAGCTGTGTATTTGCATAATAATTAGACTTCTAATACATAAAGCAAAATCTGACCAAATTCAAGGGATAGACAAATCCAGTCATAATTTGAGATTTTAACACCTCTCCTCTTAGTAATTGATAATAAAAATTGCTAACAAAATAGAAGATTTGAACAAATCTGTCAACCGTCCTTTGATTTTTAAAGAAAGCCCATCAGTGGCAGAATGCACACTTTTTTCAAGCATTCATGAAGATACATCATATACTAGGTTATAAAACAAGTCAATACATTTCAAAAAATCAAAATCTTTTTTTTTTTAAAGATTTTATTTATTTATTTGACAGAGAGATACACAGCGAGAGAGGGAACACAAGCAGGGGGAGTGGGAGAGGGAGAAGCAGGCTTCCCACCAAGCAGGGAGCCAGATGTGGGGCCCGATCCCAGGACCCTGAGATTATGACCTGAGCTGAAGGCAGACGCTTAATGACTGAGCCATCCAGGTGCCCCTCAAAAAATCAAAATCTTAACAAAGTATGTTCTCTAACCAAAGAGAATTAAATTATAAATTATTAATAAGATATCTAGAAAAGTTCAAATTATTTAAAAATTAAGGAGCATCTTTCCAAATAATTAAATATCAGTAAAAAATTACAAAAGAGAAATATATATATATTTTTTTAAAGATTTTATTTATTTATTTGAGACAGAGAGAATGAGATAGAGAGAGCATGAGAGGGAGGAGGGTCAGAGGGAGAAGCAGACTCCCCGCCGAGCAGGGAGCCCGATGCGGGACTCGATCCCGGGACTCCAGGATCATGACCTGAGCCGAAGGCAGTCGCTCAACTGACTGAGCCACCCAGGCGCCCAAAAGAGAAATATTTTTAATTGAATAATAATAAAGGTACAGCATACCAAAATATGTAGGGTGGAGCTAAAGAATTTGTAAAGGGGAAATATGTTGCTGTAAGTGGTTATATTAGAAAAAAAAGGTTCATAGTCAATGATCTAAGCTTCCACCTTAAAGTAGGAAAAAAAAAAAAAAGATGAGCAAAATACAATAGATAGGACCCTTGAATAAATTGTATCACCTGTCTAGAGTTCCCCTTTTACATTGCTGGGTATTGGGGTTTTGTGCCTTCTCATTTTTTGTTTTTGGTCAGTCTTGGTATGTGTTTATAAGTGTTTATCAATTTCATTAATCTTTAAGAATCAATTTGTTAATCTTAATATATTCGCTTTTCATTGCATCATTTTCTACTTTCAGTCTTTCTATCTTTATTTTTATTTTTTTACCATTTATCTTGATTTTCTGGAACTTTCAAACTTCCTTGGTTGGATTCTTAATATTTAAACCTTTTTTATTTTATATAAAGATTTTTATTTATTTATTTGAGAGAGCGAGAATGAGAGAGAGTACATGAGAGGGGGGAGGGTCAGAGGGAGAAGCAGGCTACTCGCTGTGCAGGGAGCCCGATGCGGGACTCGATCCCGGGACTCCAGTATCATGACCTGAGCCGAAGGCAGTTGCTTAACCAACTGAGCCACCCAGGCGCCCAAACCTTTTTTATTTTATATAAATATCAAATTAAGGGTATAAAATTTCTTTTATGAACTGCTTTAGTTGAAGTGCACATATTTTTGATATGTGGCTTTATTGTTATCATTCAATTCCTAATGCTTTTTAATTCCCATTGTGATTTTTTTCTCTGATCCATGAATTATTTAGAAAGTGTTTTCTTAAATTCCAAATATACGATGATCTCCTAGTTATCATTTTCTTAATGATTTCTGTCTCTGGTTACCGTGCTCAAATCTGTGAGCCTTTATTCGATTTCTCAGCTTCTTGGCCTCTTGCAGAACTGGTAGTGGATCCAAGAGGAATGGCCCCTAACATAGAACTCTTATCTAGTTCTCTTTCTCATCTAAGATGTTCTCCTGATAATTCTCTTCACTGCCTTGTTGATTCTCCAATGCTTTCAAATTTTATTAGATGTTCTCAGCAAAAAGGCTTGATTCAAATTCTCTAGTCTACCATTACCAAGTGCAGAACTCCTACTGATGCTGATTTTTTATTGTTGTGAGACATATAGAAAGAATAGGGATTGGAAGATCTCATGGATAGAAAGACCAGTAAAAGACAAAGAGTGTCTAGTAAAACAAAACTTTGGCCAAAGAATAGAATGAAGAGGAGAAGGTGATACTTGTATTTGTAATTTATTGTTACATGGCAAAGTGCCACAAATTTGGTGGCTGGGGTCAGCCAAAGCTGGGGTCTCATTTGAAGGTACAACAGAGGAGGGATCCACTTCTAAGTTCACTTACATGGTATTTGGCAGAATTCAGTTCTTTTGGTGCTATTTGACTAAGGGCCTCAATTTCTAGCTGATTGTGGGTTATGCACAGTCACATAGGGCACCTCACAACATGGCAGCTTGCTTTATCAAAGCCAGCTAGTGAGAAGAGTGTTGGCAAGATGGAGTTATAATATTATGGAGTATAATCACAGAAATGGCATTTCTTCATCTTTGCCATGTTCTTTTGGTTAGAAGCATGTCACAGTTCCCACCCATAATCAAGGAGAGCGGGCTATGGAGGGATGTGAATACCAGAATGTGGAGATCATTCAAGGTTATCAAATACTTTGCTACAGTATTCCTTTATGTATATAAAGTTCTCTCTTCTTCTGGAAATATTAGAGAAAATGGACAGCAGACTAGAAAGAAAAGAGTTAATATATTACAACTTCTGGAAAAGAAGCAAATAAAATATCAAAGTCTAATTTACAAGGAAAACAAGGTTAACTTTCATAGAAACAAACTATGATTAGACAGAATTTAAACTATGGAAAAATTCCTAGCCTCTTTTAACATTTAGCTTGGGAGTAAGAGCCCCTTGAAGCTATATAGTTGAAAAGAGAAACATGTTCACATGGAGGTCTTAAATGCCTATGTAGAAAAACAAAACAGTATTTGTGCATGATGTGAATTGGTTTTGCCTTCTATAGTCATCAGAGAATTTTCCATGATTTATGAGTTTACTTCATTAATATTTGATATATGTGTTCCAAATTGATTTTTTATTAAACATTTCAAGGTAACTTTGAGGGTAGAGGCTGTATCCTATTTATTGAAGTATGTAGTACCACTAGTGCTGGGAAATGAGGAAAAAGTAGGCCACTTTGTTCTAGTCTTTGAAATTAATTATCTAGTTATCATAGAGCTCATGAACAATTGCATAATTAAAAATGCTATATATCAATTTCACATACACATATTAAAATGCACAACTATGTTAATAGATTTTCTATTTTTTTTAATAGGATCCAAATGAAGATACAGAATGGAATGAAATTTTAAGAGATTTTGGCATTCTTCCTCCAAAAGAAGAGCCAAAAGATGAAATTGAAGAAATGGTTTTACGTTTACAGAAAGAAGCAATGGGTACAGTTATGCATTTAGTGGGCTGGATGAAGGAGATAATGATAGTGAAAATGTGTTTCATAAACTTAGAGGGAGAAAGGACATTAGAAATCCCACCCATACTTTTGAAATTAGGGTACTGACACGTAAAAATTGTAACTGATGTGTTGAATGTCACAAGCTAGTTAGTAATAGAGCTGAAATGTCCTGGTATCTAACCTAGTGAGACTTTTCTCTGCCATATTCCTCTAGCTCATGATTACCTTCTATTTTGATTATGTAAATAGTATGTTTCATTTGTCAAGGTTTTCAGGTACTTGGAAAATCTAAATTTATGGGGTCTAATTGATGTTCACATCTACCATCTACTTTAAATGTAGCTTGGTAGTTCTGTGAACTTGGAGGGAAATTCACACTTTAAACAAACCTGAAGTAGTCAGCCACAGAATAGATTTATATATTGGAGAACCTGCAACATTAAAGATATTCTTTATCTCCATTTATCTATAAATTGTTTTTTCTAGCCATGTGACTATAAAGTAAAAAATGGTTTTTAAATAATTCAATTATCTAAAATTTATTTTGTTTTAGTTAAACCATATGAAAAGATGACTCTTGCACAGTTGAAGGAAGCTGAAGATGAATTTGATGAAGAAGATATGAAAGCTATTGAAATATATAGGTACAGTGATTTATTTGGGCAACTTATGAGTTTTTGAATGGAGAAGTATAAGAATGAAACAAAAAAAAGCCCTATTTTTGCCTACAGAATAGATTTTAAGAGAACAAAACTAGTTTTTAAGAACATTTTAGTTTTTTTTAAAGATTTTATTCATTTATTTGAGAGAGAGAGAGAGAGAAAGAGAATATGAGCAGGGGCGGTCAGAGGAAGAGGGAGAAGCAGACTCCCCAGTGAGCAGGGAGCCTGATGGTTCTTGATCCAAGGACCCTGGGATTATGACCTGAGCCGAAGGCAGATGCTTAACTGACTGAGCCACACAGGCACCCCAGGAACATTTTAGGTTTTTTTTTTTTAAGTAAGCTCTACACCCAACATGAGGTCTGAACTCACAATCCCAAGATCAAAAGTCACATGCTCGGGCGCCTGGGTGGCTCAGTTGGTTAAGCAACTGCCTTCGGCTCAGGTCATGATCCTGGAGTCCTGGGATGGAGTCTCACATCAGGCTCCCGGCTCAGCAGGGAGCCTGCTTCTCCCTCTGACCCTCTCCGCTCTCATGCTGTTTCTCTCTCTCTCTCTCAAGTAAATAAATAAATAAAATCTTTAAAAACAAAAACAAAAAACAAAAGTCACATGCTCTACCAACTGAACCAGTCAGGTGCTTTTAAAGAACATTTTAAAGCCAACTCACTTTATATAAGGTGGAATATTTTTCTTGAATATTTTTGCCTTTGCTTAAGTAAAAAACTATCCAATAATATACAGTGGAACTTCATCAAGTTACATATAAGTAAAGTGGAAAATATCAATAAAAGACCAATAAGAGCCACAGTTTTCCTTCTAAGATAATGTCTATCATATAATAAATAAATACCAGTCATAAATAAATTTCTTTCAGAAATTAGAACAAGTACATATATTTCCCAACTTATCCTGATATTGAAGCCAGATAAATTTTAAAAACAGAATATCACAGAAAAATATCTCTTATGAACATAGGCACAAAATTTTTAAACAAAATATTAGCAAATTAGGGCCAGCAATTAAAAAAGAACAATACATCCTGATCAAATGAGATTGGCCCCAAGAATGCTTTGTTTTGACATGAAAATGAAAAAAACCTAACAGTGAATTGAGTTAGAAGCAGCAATAGTCTGGTAGCATGAGTATACCTAGATCTTAGCTCTTGTTTTATAAATGCTATTCTTTAATAACAGGAACCAGTGTTCTTTGGAGAACACTATGTGAGTTGAGTAATTACAATATGAGTCTGGAGCATCTTGTGGTACCAGAAAGTAAAGAAATACTAAAGAAAAAATGTCTTTTAAATGTATAGGAGCCAAACTAAAGATTGGAAAATCACCAGAGTTGGAACAACTTGAACAACAAAATAATAATCATAATACTAAATGACAAAATAAATATCCAGGAGTCCCTAGTGATATAAATCAATAACTTAATACATGAACAAATTCAGAGAAAGTAACACTTCTTCCTCACTGAAAATTCCAATATATAAGTGTTAGATGGGATGAGGAAAATAGAAAAATCACCATCAAGAGCACCTGGGTGGCTCAGTTGGTTAAGTGTCTGCCTTTGGCTCAGGTCATGATCTCAGGGTCCTGGGATCAAGCCCCCCATTGGGCTCCCTGCTCAGTGGGGAGTCTGCTTCTCACTCTCTCTCTCCTCTGCCTCTCTCCTCCCCCACTTGTGCTCTCTCTCTTTCTCACTCTCAAATAAATAAAATCTTAAAAAAAGAAAGAAAGAAACAAACAAACAAACAAACACCAGAGTAATAATCTCCATGGGCCAGCCCTGCTGACAGATACTGAAATGAGTGGGGAAGCTTAAATAGAAACAAGATATTTTCATAATCTCAAAGTGTCTCCCTCAAAATATTTAGTAATTATAAGGGAGGAAATATTAAGTCTACAGTGTAGAGTTTTGGCAGACCCCATTTTATAGAAGTGACCAAGGTTAACACCACCAATAATATATACTGACATCAAGTAACTCCTGATATGATGCCCCGAGGACACATTACCTATGTAGTATCCTTGTCAATAATTCATAATCTCTGTCAAATTATAAAAATACATGCAAGAAACCCAAATTTGAGAGACTTTCAAAAAACAACTGAGTAGGTTGACATCAAGAAAGATGGCAGAGTAGAAAGCTCCAGGAATCCATCTGTCCACCTAGATAACTATTGTACTGGCAGAAACTGTCTCAAGCAACAGCTTTGGAACTCTGGAGTCTATTTGAACATTTGCAGCTTCTAAGATAAAGTTTAGCTGGTAAGTTGTCTTTAGTATTGGTTGATTTCAGTCCTCAGTGTGGTGATAGCTATCCATCCCTTATCCCCAGCCCCATGGTAGGCAACTGTTTGGACAGCAACCTGTGTTTTTGGCACAGCTTGCTGGAGCCAGAGTGGACAATAAAGACTTTGTCCTCAATATTATTTAATGTTCTGATTATGAATTGTTACTTCTGAGGTATAGGCACAAAGAGTGGTTGCCATGGTATCAACTTTCACTGGCTCAGGTGGCTTCCAGAAGATTTAAAGGAGCCATATCTGTTCATTTGTTTGTTTGTTTTTTGGACATTCAAGAACTACCAAATAAATGAGGGAATTTAAAAAGGCTTGGGAAAGATGAAAGCTCAGAAAAAGACCTCAGATGACCTTAATGCTTTTACCTCAGGCTGATCCCTGACACAGAGACACCATACGATAATAAAAGAAATCATAGGAGGAGGGGGTCTGATTTCTAGAGTTACCACATTATAAGAATCCAGTGTTCTTTTCAACAACAAAAAATCACAAGACATACAAAGAAACAGAAAAGTATGGCCCATTCAAAGAACAAAATAAATTGATACAAAATATACCTGAGGAAGCCCAGATGTCAGACTTATTAGACAAAAACATTAAGCCAACTAAGTTAAAGTTGCTTAAAGAGCTAAAGGAAGACATGGACAAAGACAGGAAAGGATCATATGAACAAAGTGAGAATAGCAATAAAGAGATAGAAATTATAAAAAAGAATGAAAAAAATATTCTGAAACTAAAAAGTACAATAAAAATTGAAGTGAAATATATATGAGGGCTTCAAAAGCAGATTTGAACAAGCTGAAGAAAAAAATCAAATTTGAAGATAAGACAATTGAAATTATTGAGTCTGAGGAACAGAAGGTAAAAGAATGAAGAAAAGTGAACAGAGCCTAATTGGCCTTATGATACACTAAATGAGCCAACGTATATAGTGTAAGAATCTCAGCAGAAGAAAAGAGAAAGGAGCAGAGAGAATATTTGAAAAAATAATGTCTGAAAGCTTCCCAAATTTGAGAAGAGACATAAATCTGTAAATTCAAGATGCTCAATGAATTTCAGGTAGGATAAACTCAAAGAGACCCACACAAAGACACATCATAATCAACTATGAAAAAATAAAAACAGAAACTTGAAATCAGTGAGAGAGAAGCGACTTGTCACATATGAGGGACGTTTAATAAAAGTGTCATTCAATTTCTCATCAGAAATCTTGGAGGCCAGAAGGCAGCGAGTTGATATATTTTAAGTGCTGCAAAACAACAACAACAACAACAACACACACACAACTGTCAACTGAGAATTATTCATTTGGCAAAACTGTGCTATAAGAATAAAGGAGAAATGAAGATATTCCTAGATAAAAGCTAAGTGAGTTTGTTCCTACTAGAATTGCCCTAAAAAATTAGCTAAAGAGGTCCTTCATGCTGAAATTAAAGAGCACTAGACAGTAACTCAAAGCCTTCTGAAGAAGTAAGTAACATAGATAAAGATAACTACATAAGTAAATATAAAAGAATTATTCAACTTTGGTTCTTTTCCCTGTATGATTTAAAAGGCAATTATATAAAACAACAATTATAAGTTGATGTTAATGGACAGACAATATATAACAATGTAGTCTGTAACAATAACCGTATAAAAGGGGAAGGATAGAGGTGTATACCAGTAGAGTGTTTGTGTGGTATTCAAACTAAGTTGGTATTATTCGAGGTAGGTCCTTATAAGATATTAATTTTAATCCTTAAGGTAACCACTAAGAAAAAACTAAAAGAGTAAAAGAAAAGAAGCAAATTAAAATGGCACATTATAAAAATCAATTATACAAAAAGGAACAGTGATGGGAGAATTAAGGGGAAAAACGCACATAAGAAACACAAAAAAGAGTTAAATGGCAGAAGTAAGTCTGAAAGAGGGATCTTCATGGGTGGGGGCAGCCTAATTCCACAGCTACTAGCTGTGTCATACAGCTGGCGATATGTTTTTCAAGATGTATATCTTTTGAAATGGATGCCTCAGCAATCAAAAGCTTAATGTCAGGCACTTACACTAAAATTAAGCTTCATGTCAGGCCCTTAACATTGCATAGTTTAAGTGTATTTTAAATTAATCCAATTGATCTCCAGTTAAGAGCAGAAATTGACAAAATGAATACAAAGAAACATAATCCATGTCCTGAAAACCAAAGATAACTTGAGAAAGAACGAAGTTGGAGGACTCAAACTTCCTGATTTTAAAACTTACTACAGGGGCGCCTGGGTGGCTCAGTTGGTTAAGCGACTGCCTTCAGCTCAGGTCATGATCCTGGAGTCCTGGGATCGAGTCCCGCATTGGGGCTCCCTGCTTGGCAGGGGGTCTGCTTCTCCCTCTGCCCTCTTCCCTCTTGTGCTCTCTGTCTCTCATTCTCTCTCTCTCAAATAAATAAATAAAAATCTTAAAAAAAAAAAAGAATTAAAAAAAAACAAAAAACTTACTACAGGGCGCCTGGGTGGCTCAGTTGGTTAAGCAACTGCCTTCAGCTCAGGTCATGATCCTGGAGTCCCGGGATCAAGTCCCGCATCGGGTTCCCTGCTCGGCGGGGAGTCTGCTTCTCCCTCTGACCCTCCTCCCTCTCATGTGCTTGCTCTCTCTCATTCTCTCTCTCTCAAATAAATAAATAAATAAATAAATAAAT